ATACCTAATGAGATGCATATTGCAATTTTACTTTTCTAACCCTCAAAACCAATTGATTTATAATCTGTGGGATGTAGAACACAAGAATAAAATATTTTGACGTTCATTGAATGAAAGAAATAATAAATAAAGCGAGTTTTCTGTTTTGCATATCATTAAATATACTGAATAAATTAGGTATTTGTATGAATGTATACTACAACCTTTCTGCAATCAAGTGTATATATATACATATATATATGAAAAATATATATACCGGATCGCTAAAACTTTGACATTCATTGATATATATTTATGTATATGTGTCCCCTTTTTTCTATTGTATTTCCACGATTCTTTTGTACCGCTAGGAGGCCAGGAGCACAAAGGACCATAAAATAGTCAGTAGCCCAATTTACCGTATTAGTCATTTCTTTGATCACATAACGATTTCAGTAGGATAAAAAGAAAGAAAAAATAGAAGGGGAAAAAATTACACACAACACCAAAAATAAAACAAAACAAAAACAACAACGAAAGGTGAGCGGTTTAGCAGCAAGGCTTGTGGAAAGGTATTGCTTGGTTTCGTCGAAAATTAGCCGGAATGATTCTCTCTCACCCGTGCGTTATTCTTGAAAAAAAGATTTCTTCGAGGTACGAAAATAATTCGTTAAGAAGGAATATTAAGTTAAGGGTGAACGAGAGAATACGAGAAAATACCCTAGTAGCAGAGAATCCGAAAAAATGGATGGGAAAATTTTGCCATATTAAGAGCGTATGTCTGTAAGAATCAAACATACGACGGCAAGACTCGAAGTTTCATTACAATTTGCTCTATTTTCGGAATTAAGTATTGACGCATAATAAAACGCTGTTTGCTAGTTAGGAAAAAAAAAAAGGTTTTTGAGAAAAATAACTAAGGGAAAAGAAAATCTGAGCTCCAGGGAAATTCTTGCTACCAGAATATGGCTACAAAATTGCTTGCGTACGCGTAGGCTTAGTCCACGTTGCAAAACTATCATTCCAAACAACCTTATAAAACTTTCTATTCAAAATGCAACTTTTTCTCTTATTTACATTTTTTTTTAAATTGCAATTCAAAACATTTTAGCACCATAAAAGCAAAAAACTGGTCTCTTGAAAAAGGTAGTTTTTATTCTAGGGAAATAATTGTGCGCTTTTTGCGATATATTTTATTTTGGCTCGTTATACATGCAAAAATACTATGTTTTTCGAAATAATTTTACTTGAAACATTATTAGAAGAAACAACATAAATCAAGAGAATATGAAGTATTCTCTTGCATAAATATACTAACCTTTAATACAAAAAAGTCCTTTTTCATGAGATATCAAGAATTTAAAATTGATGGGTTGCAAGCATTCTCAAGAGAGTTAAAAGACAAAAACATGGCGGCCATTGTGGTACTGTTAACAATGGATGCTAATGAGAAATCTTTTGTTAAATGGTACCAACATGGCCGCGATGACGTAACGTGCAAACGAAAAATTTACAACCGTTACACGCTTGTTTACTATCGAGTCTTAAAACTCCCAAAATACAACCTATCAGACAACTCACCAGTTTCAAAGTGACCGATGAAAACTATCCACTTAACAAAACTCGATTTCTACAGTGTCCATACCAATGTATGTTTACCATGCACATTTAATTAGGTCGTTAGACCCAAAATCGTCCTTGGAAGATTTGGGTAGTACTTTAATTTCATGTTCTTAAGGAAAATAGAACATCAGAAGACAAGACAATGCATACTATATAAAACAGTACACTACTTATATACAATATATGCATTGTATTCGTCTAGAACATGAACTGATTACTAAGATTCCAAAGCTAGTCGACCCCAGATTTGAGACACTTGGGAATTGGGCGGGGGGTTAGGCAATATATTCAACCGAGAAGAACAATGAAAACCGAGATGATGTAAAAATAATTAATGATTAATATTATTTTTACATCATCTCGGTTTTCCTAGTTCTTCTCGGTTGAATATATCGCATAACCCACCCGCCCAATTCCCAAGTGTCTCAAAGCCGGGGGCGGCTTTGAAATCTTCCAGGGAAGATTTGGGGCTAAGAAACTTATTAAATATGCAGGGGGAATATACATTCGTATGCAAGCGGAATATGACATATGACATATCGTTGTTTTCATATCTTATCTAAAAAATATTCTTATATTACTTTTTCCAATAGATATCCTGGTAAAGTCTTTACTTTTCATAGAAGCCAAATAACTGAATTGGATATCGAGCCTCCCAAAGCAGGAATAGCAAGGAATAGCAAAGTGGGATCAAGAACATTTCTAGAACGTTAAAACAGAATATTCCAACAGTCATTTGCATGGAGTGTAGCAAGAAACTGAAATAAGAAGTATCGATAATGGTGGACATTAGGGATATTGTTTTGAATAGCACCGGGAACTCGACAAATGGCACTGAATGTTCTTCCTATGGCAAAAGCCCCTCGAAAGTTGAAGAGCCAAAAGCATCCGAGAATTTTCGAACAGTGTTTATGGCCTTTATAATATTCTTTTCAATAGTGGGCAATGCCTTGGTATTAAGAGGAGCCATTTCTCGAAGGAACAAGCCATTTGTTTACTATCTGGTGATAAATCTATCTATAGCAGAAATCAGTATTGGCGTTCTGCGGCCATTTGACATGGTCGTCGAAAGAACACCTTTTAAATGGGTGTTTGGTGATTTATTATGCCAGCTCGTCAAGCCTTTGTCATTATGTGCTACAATGGTTGTCACGTTTACTCTAGCAGCCATCGCAGTGTTCCGAGCCATAATGATGCTTCAGCCAAAGAGGAATCGCCCTTCTAAACGATTTGCTTTCAAAATTATGGCCTTTTCCTGGATTTGGGGAGCTTGCTTGGTCACGCCCATCGGGCTGAACCAAAGACTCCTTTTACATTCGGATCCGTGTTTTCCGGTTATCCTTAAAATCTGTGGCACTGTTGAGGATATGCCCGTTTACGATGTTGTGTATTATATTGCATTTTTTTTCGCGCCATTTGCGTTGATGTTGGCGTCTTATAGCATAGTGATATACAGGATAAAACAGCACATTCGTTCYGAGGRAACYAGTAGTCGAGAAGAATCCATTGAATTGAATAGACCTGTACAGTTCCTTGCGACAAAGCCGCCTCAAACCTCTCCATACAACCAAGCCTCGCAACTCAAAGACCTCAAACAAAGGCCTAGAATGCCCAATAACAGAGATAACCAAAAAAGCAAGATGTTAAAGTTTGAAAAAGATGTCCTGAACATTCTTTACATCCTCATTCTTGTTTTCTTTATCTGTTATCTTCCGTGGACAATCATGTATATTTTGTTGCAAATAGCGAGGGTACCAAGTGCTATAAATTGGCCCTATTTAACAATATTCGATTGGTACATGACCTTGCTCCATAGCCTACCTAGTGCCCTTCACCCCATTTGTTATGGAGCCGCGAGTAAAGTTATAAATATAAACTTCAGATTCCCCTGCAAAAGGTCATGTGAGAATTGAAATGTGACTGAATGAGGTACAAGGTATAATATGCACGTAATGGAAAATACATCATCTTGAACAACAACGAACAAAAAGAAGACAAAAATGACAAAAAGTAATAAAACCGGATTTCTTATGGACCATAACTATTAAGCACAAAATCTAAAATACTACTAACTCTTTTGGCTAGCAAAACAAAATATTAAGCATATATGACATCATTACGTCGTTGGGAAGCACGGGTGGAGTGCGCTGCCTCTCACCAATGCGGTCGTGTTAGTCCAGCCTATCGTCGATGTCGTATGTAAATAGAGTTGTTTGTTGGTTCTCTCCTGTACTTCGAGGGTTTTCTAAGGGTTTTGTGATACAACAGCTAAAGCTTAATATATTTTTTAACTCGTGGTTACGAAGCGTAAAACTAGTTATTGTGAGGGGTCTGAATATGCACTCACCAAAAATGTTAGCAGATCGATAATTAAACGCTTGTCAACCGTCTTACGTCATTTGCTTACGAACGTTAAACGAGACTTTAGGACTTCGTATAAACTAGTAAGAACTTCTTATTAATGAAGGGAGGACTGAAAGAAACTGTAAATGCCTTTTATCGATGTGGGATGTTGTCTAACACCAGGGCAGGCTAGCACTAAAGAAAAGATCAATGCATGTATGTTGCATCAGATTTTTAAAAAATCTCCTAAGCTAGAGAAAAATAATATAAATTAACATAACTGAGAAGCATGAAAAGAAATGTTTAAATTGATGAACTAAAAATAATTCTTTTAATAGCATTCAAGACAATTCTTCGGATTTCTGTAGGAAATTCAGCGGGGAAAAAACACTACGAAACCTATCAGTCTTATCAAACAAACTTTAATAAAGACAAGTCGAATAACATTCCTAAACGAATTTCGGTTGTGTGGGCCAAGTTGCCAAGGAATATAAAGGATTTCCAAATCAATCAACTCATTTAAGAGAAACGTTAGGAAAGTAGATATTAATAATCTCATCTCAGAGATGTTAAAATTGTTCTTTATGCAATACTTAAATATTTTTTTAGTCGATGTATTTATTATTATATATTTAAGTTTTGTCTTTATTTTGATATTATTATTATATCTGATATTTATTTTGCGGGGTTTTTTTTTTAAAGGGGAACACCACCTTGAGAGAAGCGCTTGTGGAATAAAAGTTTATATTATACTCAACTTATTCTTAAGGTCTTAAGTCCCTCTCTTTCGTAGCTTTCGAGRAATCCTGCCTGAAAGTAGCGATAAATTGAATCCCAGGAGGCCGCCATCTTGAATACAACACTGAGCCTGCAATAGGTCAGCAGATGCCCTGTGTGACGTCACTGCGTGCTTCGATCTTCGCGCGAAAATTTGTATTTTATCCGTATCTGTCTTTTAGATATTAGGTTTTATTTCTACGTCTATTATGCCTCATTGTATGGTCCCAGGATGTACAAATGGTTCGAGA